GACTTTGTAATTTGGGAGGTAGCAGTTTGAAACTAGCATGACGTTTCCATGAATCACATTTCCCCTTTCCCTGGAGTGTATGCCTTTGTCTTATGGTAACAAATGTACATTCAAGTTGTCAATGTCAAAGCTGCATCTCGGACACGGATACTTTTATTGTGAAAACTCGTGATAACTATCTGAATGAAACTGAAATACTTGCACGCTTTTCCAAGAAAATGGCCTGAACTATTTTTAAAAGAATGTGATCATCTAAACTAACAAAGTTTAAGACCAAGAAATTTAAAAAGACAAATTCGAGTCATCTTTTGATTATTATGCTTTTTGTATTGTACAAATTTTAAACTATATATTCTCATTCAAGAAGGCACTTGTATTCTCACTCTGTGTCCAACATCTCATAGATGAGGCTATGGAAATTTTGGAACATTTGAAAAAAAGAAGAAAAGAAACACTTCGCCTGTCACCGTAAAAGCTGAGTCATAAAACAGTACCACACACAGAATACACACACCAGCATCTGCCGTGTAATGCTACAGTACCACACACACAATACACACACCAGCATCTGCCGTGTAATGCTACAGTACGACACACAGAATACACACACCAGCATCTGCCATGTAATGCTACAACTACAGTACCACACACAGAATACACACACCAGCATCTGCCATGTAATGCTACAGTACGACACACAGAATACACACACCAGCATCTGCCATGTAATGCTACAACTACAGTACCGCACACAGAATACACACACCAGCATCTGCCATGTAATGCTACAGTACGACACACAGAATACACACACCAGCATCTGCCGTGTAATGCTACAACTACAGTACAACACACAGAACACACACACCAGCATCTGCCATGTAATGCTACAGTACCACACACAGAACACACACACCAGCATCTGCCATGTAATGCTACAGTACGACACACAGAATACACACACCAGCATCTGCCATGTAATGCTACAACTACAGTACCACACACAGAACACACACACCAGCATCTGCCATGTAATGCTACAACTACAGTACCACACACAGAACACACACACCAGCATCTGCCATGTAATGCTACAACTACAGCACCACACACAGAACACACACACCAGCATCTGCCTTGTAATGCTACAGTACCGCACACAGAACACACACACCAGCATCTGCCATGTAATGCTACAACTACAGTACCACACACAGAACACACACACCAGCATCTGCCATGTAATGCTACAACTACAGTACCACACACAGAACACACACACCAGCATCTGCCATGTAATGCTACAACTACAGTACCACACACAGAACACACACACCAGCATCTGCCTTGTAATGCTACAGTACCGCACACAGAACACACACACCAGCATCTGCCATGTAATGCTACAGTACCACACACACAGAACACACACACCAGCATCTGCCGTGTAATGCTACAGTACGACACACACAATACACACACCAGCATCTGCCGTGTAATGCTACAGTACCACACACAGAACACACACACCAGCATCTGCCGTGTAATGCTACAACTACAGTACCACACACAGAACACACACACCAGCATCTGCCATGTAATGCTACAGTACCACACACAGAACACACACACCAGCATCTGCCATGTAATGCTACAGTACGACACACAGAACACACACACCAGCATCTGCCGTGTATTGCTACAGATGTTTTGTCTTGAGTTCAAATGACATGATTTGGATTGCCAAGTGGGGAGAACAAAATTGAATCAGTGTTTCACTTAGGGTGCTAGATCTTGCTCACCCAATGTCCAGCCCTAAAGATAGAGTTGAAGCAGCCCAGTTCCCAAAAATCATCTAAACATTTTTTAATAAGATTGTAAAAGTGAACAGTACACTATTAAAACATACAGTTAGAGAGATTTTTTAAAGAAAAAGAAACAAGTTAGTTCTGTTACAGCTTTTACAAGCTTAAATAGACACCCTACATTGCTACCTCAATATTACAAAGTGCAAACATTTTTGGCCATTTTTAGTGATTTTAATGTCAAATTTCCCAAAACTAGAGTCTAGGTATTGAGCACACAAAACTTTGTCATTCTGTGGTAGCCACATGTTTCAAGTGAGTGGAAACAAAACTTTGTCATTCTGTGGTAGCCACATGTTTCAAGTGAGTGGAAACAAAACTTTGTCATTCTGTGGTAGCCACATGTTTCAAGTGAGTGGAAACAAAACTTTGTCATTCTGTGGTAGCCACATGTTTCAAGTGAGTGGAAACAAAACTTTGTCATTCTGTGGTAGCCACATGTTTCAAGTGAGTGGAAACAAAACTTTGGCTACTGTGTAGGGGTGTGCAAGTCAAGTTGTTTGGACTCAAGTCGAATTCCAAGTCATTACGGATGACTCCAGCGAGTACTCTAGCACTCCAATCCTGAGCACAAGTTCAAAGTGTTATTTGCTGATGTCTCAACAAAATTTTCTCCATTTATTAATAATAGCAATAGAACACAAAAGCAAGCAGAAAAAGAAGAGAAAAAATAATGGTAGAATTTCTGAAATAATTTGACTAGCGCACCAAGAAAAAGGAGAAAAAGAATAAGCAGTTGAATACAAAGAGCAACAAACAAAAACAATGAAAGCTGCAAACTCTGAGCTTTTTGCTGAAAGCCTTCTCTGGGTACAAACAGCAAGTTCTCGCATAATTAACTGATTCCTAAAACATTCATCAAGGGAGGGCTCAATTCTAGAGAACTTCAAGAATGGACTCGAGTACTTGCACACCCCATCTATTGTGTCCTTTTTCTATTTCATTTGTCAAATGGCAGTACATCAAAATAATATTTAAAAAATATATATAGATCTATATAATATAGATGATGATATCTGTCAAACTAAACAAAAAATAGTAATATGAGGAAAACAGTGCAAAACAATCAACTGAAATTCAGCAAGATGGCCGTCTTCATAAGCATGGCCAGGATCACTTCTTCAAAACAAGGACATTTAGTATATAACTATAGGAAATGCATATGCAAATATATGGTCGCTTTTAAGGACAAGCGGGCTAACCCAGATTTCGGGGGTTTCCAGAAATCTTGACCTACACCAAAAGTAGGCATTGCCCTACCTATAGGAAAAGTTTGGTTTCATTGGTGTGTATATTTGTTTGGTTATAGAGAAAACTCTCCTTGTTTTTTTAAAGAAACTGAACAAGGGGCAAAAACTTTACCTTCGATTTTCTCAAAATAGCACTTATCGGGATAGCCCCCTTGTGCATAAAAGCGGCCATATGCGGTAGAACTTACTGGTGCAGTAAAAGGATAGAATGCTGACTACTACCATTAATCAACATGACAATGTGGAAGGAGTAACAAATGATGCAATAATGTGGTATTATAGAGTAAATAAATTGTAAGACTGTCCCAAAATTAAGATGAAAATGACCACAGCACAAAAACCAATGCATTTATTTTCAATTTATAAATGCTGCACAGCTGCAGGGGCAATGATTTATACCTTCCCCAAACCACAGCATCGTCCTCAGACCTATCACTCATTGAAATCTAAAAATCAGGATCTCGGGG